TGGGCTGGTCAGGCTGACGGCTGCTGACTTTGACATCGACGTTACGGCAAGGAGGGCTGCGGTGTGTCCCGCGGGACATGAGGCCGTGTCCGAGTACGAGGATGAAGAGGCTCCCGAGCGAGTGGAGATGCACTTCGCCCGGGAGGTGTGTGAACCCTGCTGGCTGCGCCCACGGTGTCCCGTGAGGTGGCGTCGTCGCCTGAGCTCGGGGGAGAGTGGTCGCCGAGTGGAGCCTACGTGCTGAGTGCGGACCTCGCCAGGGTGAACATCGGACGTAGGCGGAGGCCGAGTCGGATGGACAATGGCGTAGACGGTACGGGTTGCGTGCGGGGATAGAGGGTACGAACTCGGAGTTGAAACGGCGCCATGGTCTTGGCCGCCTACGGGTACGTGGAGGAGAGAGGGTCCGGCTCGCAGTCTACCTCAAGGCCCTGGCGTGTAACGTCAAGCGAATGGTCCGGGCACGGTTGGACGAGATGTTGGTCCCACCGGCTGCCCTGGCCACCGCTCCCCCCGCTGCATGAAGCTACAGGAGCCGTTGCGAGCCCGCTGATGCCTACCCGGACGGGGTATGGCGCACCACAACTACCTCATCGGCCACAACACAAGCCCCGACCGGAACAAAACCAATCCCTCACGCCTAACCGCCCTCACGCCGCAGAACCAACCCGAAAGGCCCTTGTTACGAGGGAATCATATTTGGTTTCGTGTACTGCCTTGGTATGCTGTGCCGTACTTTCCCTCCGTTTGGATGGCGTTATTGCGGAACGAAAAGGGCGATTTCGCTCACCCTCTATTGGTTAGGGAATGTAGAAGCAATTGACAGGGTACCCGAAGAAGCTGACTTAGATGAAGAAGGAGGACAGCATGGAGAAGCACCTACAACCCCTAACCCCAGCCGCCCTCTATGCCAGGGTGTCCAGCGACAGGCAGTACGTGGACCTGTCCGTGTTCACCCAGCTGAGGGCGCCCAAAAACTAGCCAAGACCAACGGCTACTCCGTCGCCCACAAGTACGGGATTCTTCCTCGGCTCCAAGGCCCCCTTCGGCTACAGGCGGGTGAAGGTAACCGACGGGTTAGGAAGGGCCCACCCAACCCGGCCAGAATCAGCCCGTCCGCTTCCCCTTGAGCACCGATAGCACGGCCTCCCGCGAGGACCAGTCCCGCCATGGAGAGATAGGCAGTCTTCATCCCGGACGTAAACGCCCCCAACACCCCCTGCGCTCCCGATTCCGACACGGCGCCAAGGCTCGGCTCGAACCCTTGAGCGCCCATCACCGCGACCACGATCGTCGTCGCCACGGCTACCCCTGTGATGTTGGCCGAGTGCCGCACGAGGTTCACGAAACCGGACATCGCGCCGTACTTGCTCGTTCTACGACACTGAGGATCGAGCTGTTGTTGGGCGGGTTGAACGTCCCGGTTCCGATGCTCTGGGTCACGGTCCCCAGGACTATCAGCCATACGGGTGAAGCCTCCGTCGCCCTCGAAAGAATGAACAGCCCGGTTGCCGAGCAGAGCAGTCCGCCGACGTTGAACAGCGTCCAGCCGTACCGGTCCGACAGCCTCCCGCCCAGTGGCCCTATGATGATCATGGCGAATGCGGCGGGCACCAGGACCAGCCCCACACTCCGGGAGTAGCCCAGCACCGTCTGAAGATAGAAGGGCATCAGGAAGCGCACAGACGAGATGCCCATGAACGAGATCATGCTCGCCGCCACTCCGACGCTGAACACCCGGTGTCGGAACAGGGTCACGTCGAGCATCGGGCTCCGGTGCGCAGCTCCCAGTACGTGAAGAAACCCGCGAGTCCGACGACGCCGCGAACCCTGCTGCAATGGCGGCGATCTCCAGCCGAGCGCTGCTCCGTTGCTCATCGTGAGCAGGAACACGATCAGGACCGCCGTGGACGTGACAGCGCCGACTATGTCGAATTGCCCTCCGATATCCCGCCGTCCGTCCTCCTCCGGCTGAGGACCACCTGCGCGGTGACGATGGCGACTACCGAGAGAGTTGCCGTTAGCAGGAATACCCCCCTGCCACCCGAATAGCTCTACGACGAAGCCGCCGATCGCCGGCCCTCCGACTGCGCCCGCACCCACCGCGCTTATCTGGAGGCCCAGCGCCTTGCCGCGCTCGCTCTCGTCGAATGCCGAAAGGAGCATCGCTGTTGCGGTCGCCTGCGTCATCGAGGCGCCGAGTCCCATCAGCACACGCGACCCGATCAGTGTGACGACGTCGCCCGCGACCGCACACAGCAGGGCTGAGACGAGGAAGATCGCAAGCAACCAGGTACAGGCCGCTTCCGCCCAACGATGTCCGAGAGCCGTCCCATGGGCAGGAGGCAGAGCCCCATCGTCAGGGCATAGGCGATCATCACCCACTGCACGGTCGGCAGATCGGTGCGGAACTCGTTTGCGATACTCGGAAGCGCGACGGCTACGCTGCCATGGTCGGCCACGGACACGAAGATGCCCAGCGCAATGGCCGAGTACGCCCACCATCGGTACCGCTTCGAGCTATGGACCCGTATTTGTTGCCCTCCCAGTTGGGCAAGCGCCAGGAGTGCCATAGCCTCGCGCAGGTGGTACTCCTGAGCGTCATCCAGCTATCGGGACCTGCCCAGCCGGGCGGGCCTGGACGTGCCCAGCCGTTGCGCGCCAGGCGTCCCGATGTTCCGGGCGTTCAGCCGACAGCTCTCGGTCTACATTCCCCCGTCCACGGCGTCCATGAGGCCCTTGATGTATCCCATCGCGAACGCGACGGAGTGGTTCTGTTTCCGGGGTCGCCCACCATCTCCGGAACGTGGTCCTCGACGACTGGGGCCGTCGTAGCCCACCTCCTTGTACATGACGCCTCGCCTCCAGCATGTGCGACGTGCCCCTCGTCGATGAATGTCTCCGAGAAGCTCGCACCGTGCCCGACACGTTCCTGAATGCACGAGGCATATCTTGTTCCGGCTCCCGAAGTACCTGATCGCGTCCAGCACGTTCTCCGGCATCTCCGAGATCGTCCCCTGGCAGAAGGTCAGGCAGTTCGAGTCTGCTGGGCACTGTCTCGACCAGCCGCCTCAGGGCGGCGTGGCTGCGGAACACCCGGGCGACACCCCCGATTGGCGATATCGGCGGGTCGTCGGGATGCAGGGCCAGCCTCACCCCCGCCTCCTCGGCGACGGGGACGACAGCCTCCAGGAAGTAGGTGACGTTAGCCCAGATCTGGTCGTCCGTCACGTCGACCCACTCGTCCACCGGCGGGCTCCAGAAGTCCCGCTTGGCCCCCCGGACCTGGTCGTAGTCGAAGCTGGTCATCTTTGCGCCGCCCCGTCCGGGGGTGGTCCGGGACGTCCTCAGCCCGTAGTTCCCGACGCCGCTCCGCAGGGAGAAGAAGTACAACACGGCCCCGATCCCCGCGGCGCCGATGTTCTCGATGCTCCTGCACCAGTTGGCTATCTGCTCGTCGCGGCCCGGAAGCCCCAGCTTGATCTTGTAGGTCCAGTCCTCGGGCAGGCTGACCACGCTCAGTCTCAGGCCCGCGTCCTCGATCCGGTTCCGGAGAATCACCAGGTCCTGGAACCGGAAGTAGCCAGCGTCCAGCGGCAGGTCGTCGCCGCTCACGAAGTCGGTGGCGCCGATCTGCCGCCCGAAGGCGAGCTTCTCGTCGGTGAGCTTTCCCGATACTGCCAGTCTCACGCTGTCCTCCTCGTCCGGCAACCCTCTCGGTCGCCGTCTGCGCCCTCCTCCACCCGCGGCCGTAGCCGTGAGCGTCCCACGCCGGGACTATACTATACGCACCCCGTCATTCCCGTGAAGACGGATTCCAGCGGCTCTGGGCGACCCCGCCGGTGCCTACTCCGACCCACTGGCGCCCGTGTTGCGACGTGCGATGAATTCGGAGAACCCACTCAGGAGGCTGTCATGAAGACCCAGCGACCGCTGTCCGACGACCAGATGGAGCAGTTCAGGACGTTCGGTTTCCTGGCCTTCCCCGGGCTGCTCGCCGACTGCATCGACAGGATCATCGAGGAGTTCGAGGCGATCTGGGCTGCCCACGGCGGCGGGCATCACGGCCGCGAGCACGACGGCACCGCCAGGTCGGCGATACTCCCGTTCCCCGATAGGAGCGAGTACCTCAGCTCCCTTCTCGACGACCCCCGAATACACGACGTCGCGTCCAGCATATGCGGCGAGGACTTCAACTACACCAGCGGCGACGGCAACCTCTATGTGGGCGATACCCGGTGGCACTCCGACGGCTACGGCACCCGGCCGGTGCTCAGCATAAAGATGGCCTTCTATCTCGACCCGACCACGAAGGACACGGGCGCCTCGCGCGTCATTCAGCCAGCCACGCGTGGGCAGAGCGTTCGCGAGTGCACTGGGCAGCGCAATCTGCGCAACGGCGGGTTCGGCATCGACCCAGCAAGGTCCCGCTGCGTGCTCGACAAGCACAGCCGGCGACCGCCTGGATGTTCAACCACAGCATCAAGCACTCCTCATTCGGCGGGTCCGGGAGAAGGCGCATGTACACATGAACTTCTCGGAGCGCTATCCCGAAGACAAGCTGCCCGCAGCTGCGCGAGGTCCTCGGCAGTGAGGCGAGGGTTCTGGATCGACCGCATCACGGCGAGGCGATGGTCCCGGACGCGGGCCCGAGCGTATGGTCCACCTCCAGCAGATCAGAGAGAGAACGACACCCACCCTCGCCGAGCTCGCCGGGAGCACAGGAAGACCTAGGAAGGAGCATCCCGCGGGTAGTGTTTACCTGGAAGCGACCAGTCCCCTCTCCCCTCGCGGGAGAGGGCTAGGGTTGAGGGGGCATCCTGATGCCCTCGTAACAAGGGCCTCCCTTTCGGGTGGTTCTGCGGCCTCGGAGGGCGTTATAGGCGTGAGGATTGGTGTTTTGTTCCGGTCGGGGCTTGTGTTGTGGCCGATGAGGTAGTTGTGGTGCGCCATACCCCGTCCGGGTAGGCATCAGCGGGCTCGCAACGGCTCCTGTAGCTTCATGCAGCGGGGGGAGCGGTGGCCAGGGCAGCCGGTGGGACCAACATCTCGTCCAACCGTGCCCGGACCATTCGCTTGACGTTACACGCCAGGGCCTTGAGGTAGACTGCGAGCCGGACCCTCTCTCCTCCACGTACCCGTAGGCGGCCAAGACCATGGCGCCGTTTCAACTCCGAGTTCGTACCCTCTATCCCCGCACGCAACCCGTACCGTTTACGCCATTGTCCATCCGACTCGGCCCGCCGCCTACGTCCGATGTTCACCCTGGCGAGGTCCGCACTCAGCACGTAGGCTCCTCTCGGCGACCACTCTCCCCCGAGCTCAGGGCGACGACGCCACCTCACAGGACACCGGGAACGCAGCGAGCAGGGCTCACACACCTCCCGGGCGAAGTGCATCTCCACTCGCTCGGGAGCGTCTTCATCCTCGTACTCGGACACGGCCTCATGTCCCGCAGCACACACCGCAGCCCTCCTTGCCGTAACGTCGATGTCAAAGTCAGCAGCCGTCAGCCTGACCAGCCCATCATCCTCATCGGCCTCCCCTGGCGCCCGGCCCCCGACAGGGCTCACCAACTCCGTCCCCCTACGCTCTGCCTCCCATCCGTTGTGTCCGGAACCATACGTAGTGTCGCACCACAGCTCCGAAGGACCGATCCCACGCTCTCTCAACGTGTCTATCACCCCAACCGTCACACCGGCGTCGCTGCCGCTCGACGGCGTCACCTCCACGTGGGTGATAACCTGCATTGCGTTCCCCTCTTCGCACGTCTCGGCCACCTGTACCTCGTACCCCTTCCCCTTGTGTCCGCTGTAGGTTACCTCCGGGTCGTGCGGCGTCTGCATCGAGTACGATCGCACCTCCTTCGGCTCCTTTAGCGCGATCGGCACCTTCCCCTCTTCCGCATCGTCCTCATCGGCTCCGGGACGACCGTCCCTGTGCCGGCCCACGTGGCACTGCTCCCCCAATAGCCTCTCCAACAGCCCGTACTCCTCCATCTTTGCCACCGCCGTCCCACGGAACCTATCCACCAGCCGGTACACGTCTCGCGCACACACCGACAGCCGGCGACGCCCCTCACCTGAACGTGCGTCCTCGTATCGGGATGCTTCGCCGGTCTCCTTGAGGTACCGCTGTGCCAGACCATCCCCAATCCCTTCACCCAGACCAGGGTGCTCACGGCTCACCGCTAACAGGAACACTCGGACCGTCTCGCAGAACAGACCCAACCGCGTCAACACCGCGATATTGCTCATGACGTGCGTCGAGTCCAGGCGCTGCTTGCCTGTCCGCAGTCCCAGGGCCTCTATCATCCGGTCCGTCGTCTCACTAAACGCCAACCGCCCGCCGTCGTGCTCCATCAACCGCACACGGAAGTTGTGCAGCGTCTTCTGGGCAAGGTGCGCCTCCTCCATCTCCAGCCGCAGCGCGTGGTGCCACAGCAGATTGAACTCCAACTCCTCCAACGCCTCCATGTCCGTCAGATCGAACATCTCCTTGAGCACCAGCACTCCCAGCACCGTCTGCACCGCACGGTTCGGGCCTGCCCATGTCCGGGCTGTACATCGGAGCGAACCGCTCCTCCTCTATGAGCACCAGAGCCTCGTTCCGGAACACCTCCGCCCAGCTCCTCCGCATCAGCTTCGCCTTCCTCGGCGTGATCAGAAACTCCGACTGCCACAGGCTCTCCTGCGGTTCCCGTGCTTGAAACATCGACCACCTACTCCTGAGAGTTCACTCCTCCACTTTCCCCGTTCCTATTATCCCTCACTTCCAATTCCCTCGCCCATGACTTGTTACGAGGGAATCAA